GCAGGAGTAGTAGTCTCTGATAAACAGCTTCTTAATTGAAATCCAGTGAAAACGCTATAAAGATAATGTTCCAGAGAGGTAGAGGAGGAAATAGCCTCCCATGGCCTCAAAGGAGAAAAAGTGCCATTGACTCTGTATTAAATACCAATACACTAAAATAAGAGACATACATGTGAGTTTCAATTTGGAACAGTAAAAGCAATGAGCAAGAAGAGCTTTTGAGGAAAAAAAAAAAAAAAAAAGGTTTTTCTTTAAAGCCAAGACAGACATGAGAAAAGAAACAATTGGTAACCCCACTATAAAGAAGCAAACAAACAAAAAAACACCCAAATTTCTGTCTTTTAGTATTGCTATGTAGAATATTAATTAAAAGTAACTCTTCTCTAGTAACCTGCTCAGAAGTTAAATATATACATGCCCACAGGATTCCTACAAGCCTGGGCCAAATGCAATTATTAAGTCAGTGTAGTGAAAGTATTTTAGAACAATTTTGTATATTTGGCTACATAAAAGTCTGACTCTAAAGCAATGCTTTAAAATTCCAGAATAGGAAAAATGCTGTTACTGAAAAGATAACTGGGTTTCACTTATCTCTCTTCTTTTTATACCACCTGCTAATAATCAAAAATCATTTTAATCAGTTATATAACATCTTAACTCTTAAAATCTAAAGGACAACATCTAGAATATTTATAAAATGCCTAGGGGAAAATGTGACATTAAAATATAAAATGAAAAACTTCTTTTTAATGAATATTCCAAGAATAAAATTATTACCATACTGATCTTGAGAGTAACTATTTTCTCCTTCCAATCAGTCATACTTACCTTTTTACTCTTTTCCATAATTAGCCTTTATCTTGTTTCACCTTCTAATCTACTCATACCTCAACCAACCACAATTCTGCCTAACCCAATACTTCTAAAAAATACATGTATCTAGTTATATATGTCAAACCATACTTGGGCACAGATATAAATCTCTTTAAGTATAACCACCCCTCATTAGTATAATCATTAGAAAATTATGTCCTGAGTAGATGAATCTGCTACAGAATTAGTTTATTTTTTTAAACCCTACAACTAAGATTAAAATATACTTTATGCTTAAATAAAAGCCACTATAAAATAACTTAATCAAAGGTCAGAAAGGAAAAGAATGAGATATAAATATTGGGAAAGAAAAAAAGGAAAAAGTAATTTTAGTCACACATGGACTGTTAGCACAGTCAAACACATGTGACATGTGAATTTAACCTTTTTGATGGCTGAGAATAACCACTGTATTTTTCTATGAAAAACTATGTCATCTAGTAGCCCTAACGATGTAAAGTCAAATGCTGCTATACTAAATGGCCCCAGGGTACTAAGTTTTAATACTGTATTTTTTGTCTCTTTCTCACAGTTGGTGTGTTCAGCTTTAGCAGCACATTCCTCCCCTAATGTGTAATGTGCCTCCCTTTTAAAAATTATTTTGGCCACCAAGCATGGAAGATCTTAGTTCCCTGGCCAGGAAACAGGGTGTCTTAACCACTGGACTGCCAGCGAAGTCCCATCATGTACCTCCTTTAATATGCTATGAGCTATAACCAAGTGAAAGAAAGTGTCAGTCACTCAGTCATGTCCAATTCTTTGTGACCCCAAGGACTGTAGCCCACCAGGCTTCTCTGTCCATAGAATTCTCCAGGCAAGAATACTGGAGTGGGTTGCCCCATTCCTTTCTCAAGAGGATCTTCCTGACCCAGGGACTGAACTCAGGTCTCCCACATTGCAGTCGGATTTTTTACCATCTGTGGTGACTTAGTAAAATGAGGTGACTATGTTCCTGGAAGCTATAAAAGTACACTTTTAGGAAAAGTACATGAATTTTAGGACTCACACTTAAAGAATACAGACTTTCTAGTCTATACTCAAGTTCTCAGCTATGTATACAAAGACATTTCTAAGGGAATTAAAACTATTAAGAGTTTCTAACAGATTTCCCTGGTGGCTCAGACGGTAAAGTGTCTACCTACAATGTGGAAGACCTGGGTTCAATCCCTGGGTTGGGAAGATCCCCTGGAGAAGGAAATGGCAACCCACTCCAGTACTCTTGCCTGGAAAACCTCATGGATGGAGGAGCCTTGCAGGCTACAAGTCTATGGGGTCGCACAGAGTTGGACATGACTGAGCGACTTCACTTCACTTCACATAGGTGTAAAACTATGATTAGATAAAGGACCACCTTCATTTCATAATCAGGTCAAATGCAGCAGATCCAGGAGCAGTGGGTAAAGACATGTGATTTGTGTACTGAAAACGATCATTGTTCTTTAATTCGTAAGAGACTGCCTTATGTTTTAGAAAGGGCAGACTAGTTTGAACATTAGCCCAAAGAATGTCTGTAACTTATAAATGTAATAATTTCCAAACATTAAAGAAAAAAAGAAATGCTATTTAATGTGTTCAAATACACATAACAAATCAAGTTAATAAAGAACAATTTCTAACTAGGACTCTTGAGTACATTCCTAATACAAATAAATAGGAAGCTAAACATGTCAAATATAAGTGCCTCTCAAGCAATTTGCTCTCTGTTAGGTTAACCATTGCCTCGATGACTCTGATTCCATCAGATTATTTCTTACCAAACTATTTTCCACAGATGTTTTTCAGCCATGGGTGAAAATGACTCTCAGTAGTTATAACCCAACAATTTTCTGAACCTCAGAAGAGTTACACCACATCAAAACTCAAGATGGACTCATTAGCAGACTTCAAACCTTACACAGCTGACAACGCAAACCAGAAAAAGCACATCCCTGGCAATTTCCATTGACCTCTAATATTTTCGAAATTAATATAGTATTGATGTGACTCAAATTGTATTATTTTTAAATAAATTTTATTTATTTCTACTTTTTTTAAAAAGTTAACACACACATGATTTTCAAAAACTACATGGCATTTCATATGTATTATAAGTATGAAGCACACATTAATTTTAAAAAATGCTATACAAAAATAACATTTTTCATCTATGAAACTGGTAATATGATACAAAATCGTAATGCCTCACATTAAGTAAGTCCAGAGTAATAAGCTCTCATGCCTTGCTGAGGTGACTGTACCACTTTTCCAAAAGACTGATAAAAATATTCACTTATTGAATCTTCAGGAATAAATAATTATATCCATCAATCAAACCCTAAGGAAAGAAGTTTCCTAAGGAAATAAAATATTTCAGAATTTATAGCAGCAGACATCTGAAATAACCTAAAAACAATAGAAGTGTAGTTAATTTGGGTGTTTTACAGCCATTAATGATCTAATGATATGGAAAAATTTTCTCAACAATAAGTGAAAAAAGAATACTATTAACTGTATTACTTAAAACACATTATACATGTATCTCTGTCTCCTTTCATATAATCACAGAAAAGATGGAAAGACAATTTATCTGCAAATAATGATTAAGAGGAGCCTCCAGGGCTACAGTCCATGTCACTGCCAGGACTCAGACATAACTGAGCACACACGCATGCACGTAATGATTACTCTCTAGGAAATATTATATTTGGTTTTATTTTGTTCTTTATAACTTTGCCACACTGCTCAAATTAAAAAAAAAACCTTCACATATGAAATAATCACATAAATTAATGGAAAAGAGAAATCAAAACCAAATGCCTGGTCCATAATGCTGTGAAAAAATACTGAGATGTTGTTTACAAAGGGCTTCCCTTGTGGCTCAGGCAGTGAAGAATCCACCTGCAATGCGGGAGACATGGGTTCAATCCCTGGGTTGGGAAGATCCCCTGGAGAAAGGAAAGGCTACCCACTCCAGTATTCTGGCCTGGAGAATTCCATGGACTGTATACTCCATGGGGTCGCCAAGAGTCAGACACAGCTGAGCGACTTTCACTTTTCTCACTGTTTTTTAAAAGAGTTTTTAAACAGGAAAATAGTTCATACTGTATTTTATAACAAGAGAATGTTTAAAATATATATTTTAGCATACATAAGTAGAATTTAAAGGAACATACACAAACTGCCAAATTTATAAACCAAAATAGAGCACTTATAAGCACTTACACTTTGTTAAAAATGGCAAAACATCATTACTTTTTATAATGAATGTTTTACCTCTGTAAAAAGCTTACAGTAATAGAAAGTCTTCCTAACACTGTTTAAATTATAAATGATACTTGCAAGGAAACAACCCAAGAGTTTAATGAAGTTGCCATTAAAATAAGTAAGTAGTCACTGATTAAAAGTATAAAAATAAGTAGTCACTGATTAAAAGTATATATTATATCAAAATTAATCATACTTTATCTTTTTACCTTAAAATACTGCAATTGAGTTACATTGGATTTAGAATGTTATAAAACTAGCAATCATACATATGCTGAAGCTATGTATACTCAGTCCTCGAAAAATTAAAGTTCCTGCCACCCAACAGAGGTAATGTGACTATTTAAAAACCAAAACTTTAGTGCACAGCCTACATGACATCTTACTGGGCACATCAGAGACTATTCTCAAGTCTTCTCAAGTCAAGAGTGTATGTGTGTGTGTGTGTGTCAGTTGTGTCCTACTCTCTGTGACGCCATGGACTGTAGCTTCTCTATACACAGAATTCTCTAGGCAAGAATACTAGAGTGGGTTGCCATTCCTTTCTCCAGGTCACTCACTCAAAGCCAAAATTAAATTCTCCCAACTCTGTAACTGGTCATCACTGGACCCAGGATTTTATAACAACCCAGAGAATCAAGATAATTGTTACATTAAGGATTAAGTGGATTCAGTGTTTAGCTCCCTCAAATGAAAAATACTTGATCCTGCATAACCAATAACACTTTAATATATTTCAGTCAGTACCAAAAGAAAACCAATGCAAAAAAAAACCTAAGAGACACAGCTTTTGTGAGCAGGAAAGAATGCCTCAGGTAGAGGAACTAAAATCTAAGAACTGAATTAAGGGCTAAACATTCTGAATTCTAATCACAGATAAGACAGTGACCCAACCTAAATGATCTCAACCACATATTCTCGACCACAAATGGAGACTTATTCAGAAATAAGTCATAAAATGTTTGAAAAAAATTAAAACTTAAATGTATAACCAAGAGAAAGAATTCATTTTCCTAACCTGGTCCACATATAGACAAATCCCAATGGCCCTGAAATCAGTACTGGTAAGTATGGCAACTAAGAAAGATTTAAAGTATGTTTAACAACTGGGGGGATGGCATTTTAGTACCTTAGTTTAATCATAGCTGAGTGCATAAAGAGGTTTATGCTGTCAGTACTGTCCTAACAAGAAAGGTACAGCACAGCCTTACCTACAAAATGATTAAAAATCTGCAGTTCAAGAAAAAAGATAATGATAATATATATACAATAAGAGTATAAAATGTTATTCACTATTTATTATCACACATATTGAAGTCTTAAATCAAAATAATTTGTTAAATATGTAAGCACAGTTTTAAACTGTATATATACTCTGTATTTAATCATTCTCAAGTATTTCTATACTAAATACTTTAACCTTTAACTCTTTAACCATATTAGTCCTTACTGCCTTCATTCATCATCTTCGTTATGTGCCCCTTTTTTGGATCTCAGCATTTTTATCTTTTATTATATGAAAAAGCCATATTATTGACATCCTTCATTTAGTAAGTTAAAACTAAGATGAAATTGTTTCTAATTTCTTAAACTTAGGACACTGGGTAAAATTAATGATAAGAAAATTAATGAAACAGCTTAACAGCACAGCTTGGGAATTATTATATGAAAAAAAGCCTCCAGGGGGTGGGGATAGAAGGGGAGGACAGAACTTTGCAAATGGAAATATGGCAGATTACTTAAATGACCTGCCTACTAAAAACTGAAAATGCTGAATTAAAAGCAACAACTGAAGTATTTTTCAGCTTGAAAATTTTATTTCATTGTCATATCTTACACCCATTTCTCTCCCAAGTGTTTTCACATTTGCATATAAATACATAAACTTTTAAAAATAATTGTTTTTTAAAGTCTTGGTGTACTAATCTATCATTTCAGCATTTCCAGGTCTATTTCTATTGACTGATTTTTCTTTTAGCTATGATGATATTTTCCTACTTATTTGCATATCCAATTAATACAGAATTCAAGATAATGATTCCTTCTAGATCAGAAAAAGAATCTTCTAAGACACCAGTTGCATTTTATTTCTTTGATGGAATGATGGGTATAGTGTTTACTTCTAGTCTTTAAACCATATGTGACTCTCTCTATATATGCTGTAGTTCTTGAAAAAAAAAACTGTAAAAACTTAAGTTAGATGTTTTGAAAAGGTTCAGTGGGAAGAAAAAGGAGGGCAGCAAGGGAAGGACAAAACTGTAACAGACACAGTAGGGAACTCCAGGGCTCCACCCACTGCATACACGTACACATGTGTACACACACACACAGGCTGGAAAAAAGTCAGAATTAACTTTTGCAGATCTGTGTAATCTAATAAAAATTACAACAACCAAGAAAGCTTAGCAAAGAAAGAAGCTCCTGTACTGAAGTGAGAGAGCAATATGGTGTTTCTAATTGCCTACCTACCATTCCCCACTCCCCAGTGCAACAAAGGCAGTAAGGATGGTGGCTGCACACCTGTTGAACGCTAATAGTGCCAAGGGAGCAATACAAACCTTACTTTCAAAGAACTGTGAGTGAACGCTATGACCTGCCTGGCAACTTCCTCAAAAACTGGCACAAGAAGATGCTTTTGTCCTGCCTGACTTGGAGCACTCCCAGGGCAAGCAGCCTAGAGGAGGGGAAAATAGGCAGGATAACACATAGAGAGCTAAAAGCCTGGCAAGTGAGAGCTTGAGAAAGGAGATATGTTGGGAGAAACGGGCTTTGTAAACTCTCATATATAACAAGGAATCTAGAAGTCCACACATAGTCCCAAGGCTGAACATACACACAGAAAAGGTCTAAGAAGACCCTAGACTTTCACCTCTAGCTCACCTTTAGGCCCCATCCAAACAGGAAATAAAGGTTAAGGCAGGATTGTAAATAGCCCAGCTAAGCACTAGAGTACCCAAACACAGAACCATCCAACTAAAAGTAGGACAGTCAATTTTTTCTTTTATACTTTTATGGTCTCCATGTGTTCAAGGGAACTGGGTCAAAATACTAGTTGATCGCAAGGTTAATGGAACACAGACTTCAATAACCACACACGACAAAGAATATACACATAACAAAAATAGTTTAGAAAAGACACTACACAAACAACAGTGAAATTAACAATAACCCACAATAAGAAGCAACAAAAAACCCTGAGGAGGGGAGGAATCTGATGTGTAAAGTCAATACACAATATTCAAAATGTACAAAAGATTATGTGGCATGCAAAGAAACAAGAATTCTTGTATAGAAATTTATCATATATATTTTACCACAATATTTCTTTAAAGCAAGGAAAGGCAGAGAAGGAACCATTATGTGAATGTGAGCAGCAGTCACTTAGGAAATATGACAGACTGATGAAAAGAGTGCTATTTGATTAATAATTACTTAAAATGTGAACTATGACCAATTATATAAACAAGTGAACAGTAACAGTACGTGAACCAAGAACTTCCAGATTTACAAGCTGGATTTAGAAAAGGCAGAGGAACCAGAAATCAAACTGCCAACACCCATTGGATCACAGAAAAAGCAAAAAAATTCCAGACAAATATATACTTCTGCTTCATTGACTATGCTAAAGAGTTTGACTGTGTGGATCACAACAAACTGGAAAATTCTTAAAGAGATGGAATACCAGACCATGTTATCTGCCTCCTGAGAAACCTGTATACAGGTCAAGAAGTAACAAATACAATTGGACATGGAACAACAGACTGGTTCAAAATCAGGAAAGGAGTATGTCAAGGCTGTATATGGTCACCCTGCTTATTTAACTTATATGCAGAGCAGATCATGCATGAACCTCAAGCTGGAATCAAGACTGAGGGGAGAAATATCAGTAACCTCAGATATGCAGATGACACCACCCTTACGGTAGAAAGCGAAGAGGAATTAAAGAGCCTCTTGATGAAAGTGAAAGAGGAGAGTGAAAAAGTTGGCTTAAAACTCAACATTGAAAAAACTGAGATCATGGCATCTGGTCTCATCACTTCATGGCAAACAGATGAAGGAAAAAGTGGAAACAGTGAGAGACTTTATTTTCTTGGGCTTCAAAATCACTGCAGTTGGTGACTGCAGCCATGAAATTAAAAGATGCTTGCTCCTTGGAAGAAAAGCTATGAAAAACCTAGACAGTATATTGAAAAGCAGAGATATTACTTTGCCAACAAAGGTCCAACTAGTCAAAGCTATGGCTTTTCCAGTAGTTATGTATGGATGTGAGAGATGGACCACAAAGAAGGCTGAGCGCCGAAGAATTATGCCTTCAAACTGTGATGCTAGAAGAAGACTCTTGAGAGTCCCTTGGACTGCAAGGAGATCAATCCAGTTAATCCGAAAGGAAATCAACTCTGAATATTCACTGGAAGGACTGATGCTGAAGCTGATGGTCCAATATTTTGGCCACCTGATGCGAAGAGCTGACTCGATGGAAAAAACCGTCACGCTAGAAAAGATTCAAGGCAGAAGGAGAAGGGGATGACAGAGGCCAAGATGGTTAGATGGCATCACCGACTTAATGGACATGAGTGAGCAAACTCAGGAAAGTAGTGAAGGACAGGGAGACCTGGCGTGCTGCAGACCACAGAGTCACAAAGAGTAGACTATGACTGAGCAGCTGAACAACAATAATAAGCAAGCAAAATGTAAACTCTACCAAAAAAAAAATTGGCAAAGGACTTACATAGACCAGAAAAGATACACAACTGGCTAATGGGCACTAAAAATACACTCAACATCATTAGCCACACTGCTGCTGCTGCTAAGTCACTTCAGTCATGTCCGACTCTGTGTGACCCCATAGACGGCAGCCCATCAGGCTCCGCCGTCCCTGGGATTCTCCAGGCAAGAACACTGGAGTGAGTTGCCATTTCCTTGTCCCATGAGGGAAATGCAAATCAAAATCACAGTGAGATACCTATACCCACTAGGATGGCTATAATTAAAAAATAAACAGCGAATTCCCTGGGAGTCCAGTGGTTAAGACTCAACCCTTTCACCACCATAGCTCCAGGTTCAATCCCTAGGCAGGGAACTAAGATCCTGCAAGTTGCATGATGAAGCATAAATAAATAAAATGACAAACTTCAGTGAGGATACAGAGAACTTAGAACCCTTGGACATTGTCGGTGAGAACGTAAAATGGTGCAGTCACTACAAAACAGGTGGTGATTCCTCAAAAAACAAAAAGTAGGATTATCATGCGTGTTTGTGTGCTAGGTTGCTTCAGTCATGTCTGACTCTTTACCACCCCATGGACTATAGCCCACTGGGCTGCTCTGTCCATGGAATTCTGCAAGAATATTGGAGTGGGTTGCTATGCCCTCCACCAGGGGCTCTTCCAAGATTACCATATGACCCAGTAATTCCATTCCTAGGAACCTATCCCAAAAAAACAGAAAACAGGTATTTAAACAAAAACTTGTATGTCAGCATTCATAGGAGCTAGTCACAATAACCAAAAGGTAAAAACAACCAAAATGCCTATCAACTGATGAATGGATAAACAAATGTGGTATATATCCATACAATGGAATATCATTCAGTCATAGAAAGAAATGTAGTGCTGATACATGCCACAACACAGATGGATCTAGGAAAAGTTATGCTAAGTGAAAGAAGCAGATACAAAAGGTAATATACTGTATGATCCCATTTACATGAAATACCCAAACTAGGTAAATCCACAGAGGTAGGAAACAGATGAGTCTTTGCCAGTGGCTGTAGGGAGAGAGGAACAGGGAGTAACTGCTTAACAGGTTTGGGAATTTTCCTTTTGGAATGATGAAAATGTTTTGAAACTATATAAAGGTTATGGTTGCACAACACTGTGAATGTAGCAAATGCCACCAAACTGTGCACTTTAAAATGGCTGATTTTATATTACATCAATTTTATCTCAATGAATAAGGTGTTAGAACAGAACTGATAACCTTTTATGAAAACAAGTACTCAACATGTCAAGGTATTTTACTATCAATATTTACTGCTTCCCAACTAAAACAAAATAACACAAATA